GTTCTAAACTCCTGACTCCACATGTCAAAGAATGGATTCATGTATGCTGATTGTGTCTTTGAACTTGCAGACAGCTGTGTGCTATCTTTTAGTGTTTGAAAACTTTCAAAGGATTGTGTCTAATAATAATATATTTAAATATGAAATTACAGTTGATTTTTCTATGGTATTAAATTTCACTTTTGCTGAAAAGTATGTACACTTTGATGTCTCTGGTTTGTGCACTTTGATAGTACATGCTAAATCATTAAAATTTATGGAAGTTGGGTATGCAACTCAGTGGCAGAGTACCTATGAAATATATTTGAGGCTTGGACATTAACCTCAGCACTGCAACAACAAACACCAATGTGTTTTGTACTGTGTACTTGCTATTAATATTTAATTAAACTTAAGACTCAGCTATATTCATTTTAAACTTTGAAAGAAGTAAATTGACATTTGAAACTTTTGCAGTTTCTATGCCTCCTTTTGTAGAGGTAGCTACCAGACTGTCTTTTTTGTCTTTTAATGCTCATTCTTACTTTAATTAATTCATAGTATGCTATTTTATATTGCTGTAAATATGTAACAAAATTGGTAAATTATAAATAGAAGTTTATTTTGCTCATGACTCTATAGTCTGGGACTGCTAAGATCTAGGAATTTCATCAAGTGATTGAAGGCCTTCCTACCGTGACATACATGGTAGAAAGTACCACATTGTGGGAAACTTCACATTTGTTGTGAAGAGGTTGGACATAGCGCAAACTGACTGATCCCTTTGTAACTGATCCTCTCCTGTGATGAGGCCTTTACTGCCATCCCTTACTACCATATCAAAGGAAATCAAATTTCAACAGCAGTTTTGGTAAAAGATGAGAGAGAGATACAATGTGAAGAGAAACCAGAGTCAACATGAGTTTCAGAAGGAACAGTTAAGCCATTGCAAATCATTCACATAAAATAATAACATATTTTGAGTCATTTATATTAAGTACAATTATAAGAACCTTTCATTTACTAACACATTCATGAAAATAATACTGCTCCTGTGCTTAAATTATGCATTAACTATATCACCCCCTTCATTTGCTCTTACGTGCACTGTATCTGAATTTATGAAGTTGATGTATGCAGCTCCGTCATGTATTCTAACTATACAGAGTATTTATTTGTATTGCTGTGAAAATTTTGCTTATTCTCTTCTTGATGAAACTTAGGCTTGTATATAAAACTTCCTTTTGTATCTTTCTTTTTTTAAATTTTAACATGGAAAGCAGCAGGTTTCCCTGTGTAATTTTCATAATAGTGTTTTTTTTAGGCTCTCCCTTACTTCCTCCTTCCCTCCACTTCCATCAGCAACACTTTGTATAAATGCATTTCATTATTACCCATTCTGAAATTTTCAAAGCATGATCTTGATTTATTCGCATTTTCTGTATCTAGTGAACATATCATTTCATATATCAATTTTATAATTGGGCGTATTTTTGTATTGTGTGTATTATTTGCCTTTTTCTTATAGCAAATCTATTTTTTCAAGTTATTGTTCTTTATCTTATTGTCATATAATAGTTTTATTAAATAACATCCTGATAAAAATTCTTCATGGCTTATATGTAGTATAAATATTCTCTCTACCTGTGGCTTGGCTCTCAGTTATGTGGAAATTACTGTTTTATAGAAATTTTAAATTTTAATATTTTCTTTATGATTATGTCTCAAGAACCTTTTTATAGTTCATAAAAGATGCTGTCTTGTAATTTTTCTAAAATATATAAAGATTTTCTTATAAGTCCTTATGAGTTGATTTTTATCCTTGAGATGGGCTGTAATTTCATATTTTAGTTTTCCCTTTGATTCACTGTGTGTCCCTGCCCGATTTATTTCATAACCCCCCTTTTTCTTTTACCATGAGGCTGTTAGATTACTTTATTGAGGTTTGACCAGTGAACATAGACTGTACAAAAATAGGTAAATCTTCATCAATGTGTACCTTTGATTGGATATACCAATGAAGATATTGTTTCAATCAAAAACTCTAGATATACAGTAGTCTGTTGTTAATTGTAGGCACTGCACTATACAGTAGATCTCCAGACCCTATCATACATGGCTGAAACTTTGTGCCCCTGACCAATGTTTGTCCATTTCTTCTCTCAGAACTCTACTATTCTACTTTCTTTATCTACGAATTTGGTTTCTTTAGTACCTATTAAAATTGGGATAATGCAGAATTTGTCTTTTGTTGCCTGGTTTATTTTTCTTACCAAAATGTCATTCAGGGCTATCCATGTTGTTTCTTTTGTTTTTAAACATTTCTCATAAAATAATCAGTGTAATTTACTTTATTAGATGTTCCCAGTTTCCAGGTCCGGCAAATTAACTTTTTAAAATTATTTATTTAATAACCACATACTTAGAAGAAGCATTTCATTACAACAGCATTGACATATTCAGTAACAATTTCCAGAGCTCACAGATAAACCTTACCTAGACATAGATTTCTTGATCTGCTATGTATAATTTGTCAATAGTTTGTAGGAGTAACATGGTTCCCTCTGGTTATCAAAACTAGCTAGGCATTATTTATCTCTCTCATTGTCTCACCCCTCCATCATGGTTTTCCCACTTAAGGTGCCTCCATTTCCCCCTTTCTCCCTTAATAACATCCTTCTCCTATGATCATACCTCTCTTGAGCTCCGTTCCTTATATACCCTTCCCTCCCCCCTCCCTTAAACTAACCCAATTTTTATCCATATCTTCTTTATTAAGTCTGTTTCCTACTGTTCTTCTCTTTCAGGTTCTTTTTTTTCCTTTACCTCCCTGTTTCCTTTCCATTATCCTGGTTCCTGTAGTTATGTCTGGATACATACTCACTTATCAGGATTTGGTTCTAGGATCCACATATAAGGGAGAACATATGTCGATTTTTTTTTTTTTGAGTGTGTTACTTCAGTTAGTATAACCGTTTCTAGTTCCATCCATTTACCTGCAGATTTCACGATTTCATCTTTCTTTACTGCTGAGTAAAACTCCATTGTATAAATGAACCACATTTTCATTATCCATTTGTCAATTGAGGGACACTTAGGTTGCTTTCATCTCTTAGCTATTGTGCAAAGAGCAGCAGCAAACATGGATGTGGGGAAAGGGGAACACTCATCCACTGCTGGTGGGGCTACAAATTGTTCAACCTCTGTGGAAAGCAGTGTGGAGAGCTCTTAAGAAACTACGAATGAACCTACCTTTTTACCCAGTTATACCACTCCTTGGCATATACCCAAAGAGCTCATCCTATTGCAGAGATAGTTGTACATCCATGTTTGTTGCAGCAAATTAATTTTTAAAATTAGCATACAGGGTGGAAGTTTGCATTTTGAATGTTTTGCAGGTATTTTGTTTCTGGCTCATCTCCCTTTGCTCATTCTTGCAACCTTTCACATTACCTGTGCTCCGTTGTCCTCTGCACCTTCTGTAAAACCAGTTTTTTCTGTCTTTGATCCCCTTTTCTTGGTTCATGATCTGTACTCATGATATGGGAGGAATTGGAGAAGGACTGGAGTTGGGAGGGATGGAAGTAATGCAGATCCGATAATAATGTATTAAATTCTCAGTAACTGTGGAATATATAATACTTATTGAGATGAAAATATAAATTATACAATAATTTCTCAAAAATTGTTTGGTGTATTGTTCCTAGAATAGATGGCTTCGTTTTAATAGACATTCGGTGATAGCACTGCAGCTTGGAGAAAGGGGTAGGAAGCGTCAGATCTTAGTTGATGATGAATTTACTTGTGACATACTCATCAAACAGTTGAGAGAAAGCTACCACTTAGTAATGCTCGATAAATGCTATTATTGTTTTGTTATTGCCCCTTCATTGATAAAGACAAGTATATTCTATTGTTTAGATAGAAAATACTGTCATATCACTTGTCTTGATAGTAAATATTTCAATTTCTTTTCTTTCTCTGTTCTATAACATTTTTTATCACCCAGTGCATTAGTTATTTTCTGTTGCTCTCATAATACACCATGAACAAGGCAACTTGTAGAAGGAAGAGGTTATTTGGCTTGTGATTCAGAGAGTTAGAGTCTATAATGGCAGCAGAGGTGGCTGGAGCAGAAAGCCTAGGAGATTACATTTTGATGAAGGCACAGGAAGCAGAGAGAGTGACTAGAGGTCTGATAAGGTTAAATACTCTCAAAGCCTGCCCCCAGTGACTTGCTTCCTCCAGCATGCACCTCCTCATACCTCCCAAAACAGCACCACCAACTGGGGACAAAATGTCTGAATATTTGTAGTCTATGTGGGCATTGTCATTCAAACCTCCCCACCCAGTAAGGTTTTTTTTTCCCCATTGTCAAGCTGTTTCTCACAATTAGAAACGAATCCCTTTTACTTTGCTAGATCACCTTGGTCCCTATTCCTACTTTATCGTTTGTTTATGTTTTTAGTAATACTTCAATTATATGTATTAATTTTTGGCCAATCATAATTTTTCTTGATACAGCAGCATAAAATAACATTTTCAAGTTGTGTATATTTGAATAAACTTTAAACTTAGGTTAGATTTAATTTTTTGTCCCTAACCCCACTTTATGAAATTTGAGAGTATAAGAAGACATCAGTGTTGTTATATATTTCCCATTCCAGTTACTTACTCATAATCTCCTAATGATACACTATTGTGATTTCTGGGTTCTGAGAAATAGACCATCTCTTGTTAAGGGGAAAACTGTATAGTTGGCTTCTTGAAGAATTTCATTCTGAGAAGTTTGATGGGGAAAAAGTTTATGAAGTCTAAATGTGTCTAATTTATATTGAAAACCAGCATCTATATCTATTTTGCTTTTTGGTGTTTAATGACAGACATAATTACTCCACTTCTGTAGGCCACTTGTATTAAATGATAATTTTAGTACTTATGTACAATGTATTTTTACCCAGGTTGTGATTTCCAGAGTGTTCTTATCAAGGATGCCCCATTCTGCTTTGTTCTTCCCACAGACAGCCTTCTGATCGATTACCAGTTCACCTTCAGCTTGTTACAAGAAGATGATCGCCACCATACTGCCATCAACTTCATCGCAAACCCAGAGCAGGTGAGAAGAGTCTCTTTCTATAATGAATTGTACTACTACCAAGGCATCCACACTTTCTGTCATCTTTCATTGTGATTTTACTCCATCTCAGAATTATAGAAAAACTAATTTGCTTGTATTTTCTTTTTATGAACATGTCCTAATGATTCAGAGAATGTTTGCTAGTTAGTATTTTTGAGTGGTAATATTGGGATTTGTAAATATTTAGTATTTTAAAATATTTATATACTTACTATATTTTCTTAATTATATACTCAAATTTCAGAAAATTATTATTTGAAAGTAAATCCCAAAAATTCAAAGCATGCTGTATCAAACTTTTTCCTCGTACAATAAAGAATTGGTTTTTATTGCCTTTTGTTTATATTTATTATTTTTGAATTAAACAATCTTATTTTCATAGTCATCTTATTTTATAGGCATATGAAGTTTATATGTGTGCATTATTAATAGTAACTCTAAACACCAACACATCAAATCAAGAAAAGACTTGACAGTCTAGAAAGCAATATCACAAATATATTACTATTCATCTGAGGTTTTCTAAAGCTAATAAGCCCAAGGAATGGAAATAACAACCATATAATTTATTTAGGTTGAATTTTAATTTTTTGAAGGTAAAAATAATTAATCCAAAAAGAAAATGTTATATTAAATATATGTGTGCTTATTATATGTCAGTTGATATTATTAAACCTATTTGATCTATTTAACAGTTTTTACATAGGTGAAATGTCTCATTATGTCTTGAAAGTTTATCACTTCTTTTGTTTTCAGTATTTCTCTGAGATTAGACCTGATGGCACATACATTTAATCCCAATGCTCAGAAGTCAGAGGCAGAGAGACTCTTTGAGATTGAGGCCACTCTAGTGTACATACTGAATTCCAGGCTAGTTGGACCCTGTCTCTAAAACTAAAAGCCAATAATCAAAAAACCAAAATAACCTTTTCTTTTAAGTTTTGACATCTAGTTTACTAATTTTTTTTAACTTGGTAAATGGGATCCTGCTTTCTCTCTCCTACAAATGGAGTTTATTCTGTTACTCCTTAGTCCATAGATTTTATGGAGTGTTTGTATTTTTTGCAATGCATCTGAAGTTTTGACTTTATAGACATTTTCTTTCACATACAATCTTGTCTTCATCAGTCTTCATCAATTATCCATTTTTCTCTAAAGATATTAAAAAAAGTTATTGCTATATTTGCCAGTATGAAAAGGAAGTATTTAGAAATGCAGTATAATCAGCCTTTGCTTTTTTATTGTAGAAATTCTGAAAGTAAAAGTTGTTTGCAGTACTTTTGGTCAGCAATTCAGTTGCGTTAAGCACATCCGTAATGTTTTCTGTCATTCCCTACTGCTGCTCTGTGGCTGTTAGTATCCTCAGATGGAGGTGCTATTGGGTACTTAGTAGCTCTGCACTCTCCTCTGGCCTCAGCTCCTGCTACTGTCACTGTACTTTGTCTTCCTGTATTAATTTATTCAGGGTAGTTCATATGAGTATAATCATGGAACAGTTGACTTTTTACACCTATTTTACATAGTGTAGCATTTCAACGGTTCAACCATGTTACAGTGTATTTAAATCTTTACTGTTGGTTTCTTAATAGTGAATTCCAATTTGGATTTTTAAGGATCTAAGAAATTTAATGTAAGTGGGATATCTAATTACAAAATTGAGAGTAACATTCCTCCATAGTGTTGTTCTTAGTGTCATGTACATATGCCTAGGTTAGCTACAATTCTAGTTTGATCCTGTGTTCACTATCATTGTTACTACTTTAGTGATCTGATCCCGAGTGTTTACCCGGGCTTTCTTTTTTATTTTCTGCTGTCTTTTTCATTTTAATGAAACAGTCAGACATATCTCCTGGTGCTCTGCTGCCATGAGAAGCATCTCGGGAATGCTTGTAAGGTTATTGGTTATAATTTTCTTTAAACACAGATTCACCTGGGAATGAAGGCTTCCTATTTTTCCTATAAATTTCCTTATCCAAGGTAAATGCCTTGATTATCATTTGTAGATGTCCTACATGTTTACCACAGATTTCAGTTTCAGTTCAATATAGATTACTCTTAGAGAGTGCTTTCATGTGAACCATTTCTGTGCTAGGCTTCTGTACCATAGAATGTTACTAAGCTCCTACACTACTTCAGTGTTCTCAAGGACTGGTTTTTATCATTTCTGGATTAAACTTCATATCACATCTTTCACTACAGCTTAAAACCCACTGAATGGGGTTTTTGGTTTTAGTTGTGGTTCTGTGTACTTCAGTAATAAGTAAACTTAGAATTGATAGAAGATGAACTAAAAAATCAGGGCAGTTTTATATTAACTGGAATTTTGATATGAACTTTTAAATAGTAGTTCTGAATTTGCCTACCCAGAATAAAAACTGCCCAATTATGAAGAGGTGACTAAATGTAAAATTGAGAATTTATTCTTTCTCTTGTGCACAGTTTTCTCCAAATGTTTCTATCATAAAAATTATTATTATTATTTTGAACACCATTCATAGTTTGAAAGGATAAAAACATAGAACCCCGTCTCTTCTCAGAAGTTGGGGAGCCTGCCCTCCATGTGAGTCTTCTAATTTTAGGGTAAAGATAAAGTTAAAAAAATTGAAAAACATCCTAAACTAATAATCATAGCAATTTATTGTAAGTTAAATGCCCTTAAACAATGTTTTTTTGGGGGGTGGGATACAAAGACTTTCATATTTAATTTTATTTTTTGTTATTGTTTTGTTTTGCATTATTTTATTTTTTGAGGCACGGTCTCTGTTAGTTCCAACAGGTGTGGAATTCACTATGTGGACTAAGCTGACCTTGCTCTCATAGAGATCACCTGTCTCTGCCTCCTGGGTGCTGAAACTAAAGGTGTGTGCCACCTAGCGGGCCTGGCTTACTTCCCATTTTAGACAAATGGTCAAATTATTAGATAAGTGAAGAAAATAGCCTTTGAATTTACCACAGCTTTTTTTCATTAAAAATATGAATACTCTTATATTTATTCAGTTGAATATTATACAACACATAAATTGAAATCGTTAATATAGACAAAATCAAATCAGTTGCTTTACATGTATTTAGTACAATTCCACCTTTTCAACCTTTTTTTTTTCTTGATAGTCAAACAAAAATTTGGATATTTCAATTAATGCATCAAACAACTTTAATCTCAATATCACATGGTCGGTTGGTTCAACAGGTAAGATAATTTTGGATTCATGTGTCTTCTCCATGTGTTCGTGTGTGGAAGTTGTTCTGATATGCTTTTGCTGACCAAAACAACAGGTAGTCATATGAAAGCTGTATTACTTTGTTAATTTCCTTATTCAGTTAAAATCAGATAGCTAACATGGCTTATTTTTTCAAAAAGGTAAGGTTATGAAATGCTGTGATTTTAACTAAGATTGCTTCTTTAGTGAATAAAGTGATTGGGATTTTAATTTATCCAAGTCACTATTAAAGCTATAAATTTAATTATCATCCCCTTACATAAAAATGATATTCTGTATATACTGATGAAAGTAGCAACTTATTTTTAGTTTTCAAGCTTAGAAATACATTCCTTCTCATCAGCATTAGGGGTAAGAGCAAATAAACTTACATAAATATATCTTTTATAATCAAGTTCACAAATTGAAATGATTTTTTAAAAAGAAATGCAATGGTAAAGAAGGTACATTATTATATTAGATTATGAATTTGTATGGTCAATTTTCAACACTTACATTAAGAGATGAATTCATAGCATCTACATGTTCAACATGCACACAGTTAAGAATGCACACTATTTACTTTTGACCTACAATAGTTGGAAAACAATTCAGTTACTTAGTATACTAATTCTTTTTACTGTTCATTAAGCTGGAGTTCCAGCAAGTATTGTGGTTCAGTTTCTTGAAAAATGAATATATTGATTTTTCCCCCCATTTTTAATTAGATGAAGACATGGACACATTTGGTCTGATTTGGTCTGTAGTCCCTGTGGAGTACTGAGTCGAAAGAGCTCAGCTTCTGAGCCCTATATGCCTGAATTCCAAGGAAGAGCTCAGACCTAGTGACTCTACATTTGGGGGAAGTGCTTTCACTCTCTGAGACATAGGCGTCAGTGTGAAAATCAGAAATGATGATACCTCTGGGGTGACATTGTATGAGACTAAGTATATCACTTCTCAAAGCCAATGGTAGCTAGATACTGTGCTAGTATTTTTTTATAAGTTATTTTTATATTAGAACCATTAACATTTATGGCAAACCTGTCTTGTCATTCTAAATTATGAGTATGAATACATTTTGGTAATCAAGTTCTTATAATTTTAATTGTAAAAATTTGTTGTACTACATGCTTTCAAATGAATATAAATATCCTTTTTTCCCAATATGAATGAGTTAATTTTTTCTTAATATTTGTTTCCTAGGTGGAACAATATCTGGGGAAGAGACACCTATAATTTCTAAGACAAATATAAAAGAATTTAGAGATAGTTTTTCCTATGAAAAATTTAACTTTAGAAGCAATCCTAATATTACATTTTATGTGTATGTCAGCAACTTTTCCTGGCCTATTAAAATACAGGTAAGCATTAAGAGTATTTACTTCTGATGACTGCTTATGAATTATGACTAGAAATGTTTGAATATTTAATTTTTTTTTTTTTACGTGTATGAGTGTTTTGCCTACAGGCATGTAAATGCACTGTGTCCTGCAGTGCCTGCAGAGGACAGAAGAGGGCTTTGAATCCTTTTGAACTAGAGCTACAGACAGTTCTTAGCTACCATGTGGGTGTTGGGAATTGAACCCAGGTCCTCTGGTTTAAATTAACCACTGATCCATCTCTCCAGCTGCATGCATACTTTATTTACATTTATTCCTCTGTGGATCTTTTGTGAATGGAACAAATAATTTTCAAAATCATATGTTTAATAACAAAAATATTCATTTGCAATTTTACACCTAAATAAAGATAAATATTTCTTGCTAAAATAGTAGTAGAAAGTACTACTCAGTAAACTTCATTACATTACCTAATTTAACATTACTTTATGCATTGTATAATGATATTTCTTAGATGCTTATATAGTCAAAACATTTCCATTAATTTTTCCATGTAATTTGTATATTTTTTTACAACATATAGTTTTATTGCCTAAGTTACATACATAAGTATTTGTCAAATTTCACTTTGTTTATTCAAATTATGATTCAATATAAAACTGCTCACCTATATAGCTTACTAAATAGTAATTAAGATTGATGTGATTATTGTATTTTTAATTATTTTTCTTTATTTCTTATCTACTTATATTTTATTTTTATGCCAATTGCAGTTATTTTAGAATGTTCATGATTATTTAATGGTTTCAAATTAATTTTCCAAATTAGGTTTTCTTTTTAGAACATAGTTACTTCTTCTGGACATCAAGCTAGAATTCATCTAGTGAAATTTAAATACTTTACTCTTTCAAAGTAGTATAAATTGAAAAATAATTGGAATGATCACGTTATATAGAGCCTAATTTCTATTCTTTATCAAAGATTATATTTGTACCAGGTAGTATGTTAAAGCATGTGATGTGCTTAGTTAAGGGACTACAAGGTACTTAATGTGCATAAAACAGTAAAAACTTAGAAATTTTTGAAATGTTGTAAATTATAGTCTCCAGTTTTATTTTGTGTTATCCTTTTTGTTGATCTTGTAAAAAGAATGAGTTCTATGGATTTTTAAAACTTAGTTCTTTTGCAAGAATGTTTAAGGTAGAAGGAGTTTTTTTTTTTTTAACATTTCAAAGACGTGGTGACATTTTGAGAAAAAGGAATTCAGTGAACTTGTAGCTGCACTAGCTCTACTTTTAGAATTTGAGAAACATTTATATTCTTTATGTTAATAGAGTTTAATTCTATAAGTTTAGTAAATGTTAGATATACTAATTTTACCATGTGTAATATTGAATAGTAACAAATCATTTTGAATTTTTTTTTTTTTTTTTTTTTTTTTTTGTCTTTTGAGACAGGGTCTCCCTATAGCCCCAGCTGGCCTGGAACTTGCTGTGTAGACCAGGCTGGCCTGGAACTCACAGAGATCCTCCTGCTTCTGCCTCTCAAGTGCTAGGATTAAAGGTGTGCGCCAACACGGCGCCTGGCTTATTTCAGTTTTAAAACAAGATGTTTTCAGTTTGGCCATATAGAGTTTAGCTATCTGATGTTAAAAGTAGCTCCAATATGTTGTGAAAATCTAAGGCAGAATTTTTCCATAATGATTCCTGGGGCCTTGGGAGGAGAAGGTGTGATATTAGGTGTCCCATTTAGGACTGAGTCTTTTACTCTCTGCAGGCTAACCATTTGTGGGTCTTTGTGTTAATTGCCATCTCTCCAAGAGGTTTTTTTCTGATGACAGCTGAGAGTTGCACTGACCTATAGGTATAGTAAGTCATTAGGTATCAGGGCAAGAACTTTTGGCTAGATAGGTCTGTCAAAAGGCTATCTTCTTATTTTTGCCTGATAGTACTTTTATGTATAAAATGGACTCCTCTTGAGCAGCATATAGTTGAACTGTCCCACTCCCACTGTCTTGCTTTCTACATCTATTGCTCCTATTTATTTATTTATTTTTTATTTATTATTTGACTTATTCCTCTTGAGCAGCATATAGTTGAACTACCCCACCCCCACTGTCTTATTCTCTACATCTATTGCTCCTATTTATTATTTGAAATGGTGCTATAGAAGCCCATGGGCTCAAATGTCTTATGTATTAGTGGATGACCTTGACAGCTCCTCATCCTCTTCCTCCATCTGCCAAGTGCTGGCAATTATAGCTGTATGCTACCATGCCTACATGTCCCCTATCATTTATCACCCCCTCTTCTTGCTCTGTCTCCTTGTTCTTCACTCCACATCCTCTGCCTTCTTTTCCTCTCTTCTTTTGCCTCCAATCTTTTAAAAAGTTTTTATTTTTATTTTATGTGTATGAATATTTCACGTGCATGGATGTATGTGTGCTTTGTATTCCTAGTACCCATGGGGGCCTGAGGATCCATGGGCACTGATTTGATCCTCTGGAACTGGAGTTATGAGTAGTTGTAAGCTGACATTTGTGTTGAGAATCAAACCCCAGTCCTCTGTAAGAGCAGCAAGTGCTCTTAACTGCTGAGCTTTCTCTCCTGCCCCATGTGCCTTTTTTGAACTGATTTTTTTTTTTATGGAGGAGTGGGAGATACAGTTAATCTACTTGAGAACAATTTTGTCTCTTTCTTTTCATCTGGCTAAGATCTAACTTTATTGCTGTTTTAAATCTTAGTAACTTAATAACATAATTTTCTACATATTCTGAGAAAAGTGAAAAATAATATTTTTGCTTCTCATTCAGTATCCCCATCTGTATTTTATCAGTTGAAGACTAGTATAAAGTAGTGTGTCTCATTAAAATTACAGCTACTAAATATTTATTTAAATATTTGCCAGATGGGTTGGGGATTTAGCTCAGTGGTAGAGCACTTACCTAGCAAGTGCAAGGCCCTGGGTTTGGTTCTCAGCTCTGGAAAAAAAAATAAAGACAAAATAAATATTTACCAGATATTATTTAAACTTTTATCATAATCAAAATTCTTTGCTATGGAATAAAGTACCAATAATCTGTAACCTCATGTCGCTCATAAAATGTTTGTCAAGATTCTTTCCACTGATATAATGAAATCCAACTTGAAATTTGTTTAAGTAAAAAGGGAGATGATAGATTTAGGAATACTGGATTAGAGCTTCGCGGGGGGACTGTCTTTGGAAGCTCCAAGAACTCATCCTCAAATATGTTCATCTTACTAAAGCTGCATTCCTGGACATTCTTTGTGCTGCTCTATAAGGAGTCGTGAATGTAATGTTCCTTGTCTCTTTGTTCTATTAAATTGTATCAGTTGACCACAGTCCCTCTTAGAAAGGTTTATATCATCTTAATTAGTCATCCCAAAGAAAGAAATGAAAATATTTGAGGTTTTGTTTTTTGGTCTTTTTGAGACAGGGTCTCCCTGTAGCTCCAGCTGTCCTGGAACTCACTATGTAGACCAGGCTGGCCTCGAACTCACAGAGATCCGCCTGCCTCTGCCTCCTGAGTGCTGGGATTAAAGGTGTGCGTCATCACGCCTGGCAGATTTGAGTTTTTTATATGGATATTGAGACATGTATTGTCTTCTTGATTAGGTCATAATGTGCTCCTTGAGTCATTTTCATTGGCTGGCATGGGTGTGAATGATATTTATGCATAGGTGGGTCTTAGTTGTCCATTTCTGCAACAGTTGCAGAATTGGCATCAAACCAAGAAAGGTTCCTTAAGGAGTTAGACTGAAGCAGGATTTTGAAGGCTAAAAATGAGTTCAGCACAGGGAAAGTTGCATGATAGGGAATTTTAGAAACAAGATGTAAGTTTTCAGTCATGATTAAAAGTTTTTTGTTATGATTTACCTAAGATATTTTCTATTTGCATAGAATGTGATGTTTCTGTCTAAATTATTAAACTATTTTTTTGTGCCCACACAAAAAGATGAAACTTTTTTTCTAGCAGTATTTCTGAATTAAGATATTTGCTTCCATCCATTTTAGTTTCATTGTATTGAGATCAAATGTTAATTATATGCCAGTCTCTGTTGAAGTACTATACTGAATATTGGATGAAATATATAATTTCTGTTTCTGCTCTAACAAAACTAGTAAATTTTTACAAATTATCGTATAATTTCCATCTTTGTAGGCCCTTTGAAAACCATTAAGACATAGTTCACAGATGAATTACAGATGTAAATATTCAGTTGATTTCTTTGTTATTAGTTGACCTATCAGCAACATTGTTTGATTCCATTCTAAAGCTCTCCTTTCAGTGGGTTCTGACTCCTTATTTTCCTACTTGCACTTTTGTTTGTTTTGCCATATGTTAATTTTACTTGCAGCAGCCTACCATTTCTTTCAAACAGTTTATGATTGTACTGATTCCTCTGACCGTCTTCTGACAGCACGGCTTGGAACACTATCACATCCTTCCCAGGTGACTGTAGCACCACTAACTCTTTCCCATGTTCTGAGCATTGTTTCTCTTCAGGCATCTCGCTTGAAGGCCATTTCTACTATGCAAGTCAAAGTAGTTCATACTTGCTTCCTAATCTACAACTTAAAGGCCTTTCATAACTATATCATGTAGTTTAAACTACTTAAAGCCTGTAAGGTCTCATAGTGTCTACATGTTTGGTCTCATTTCTTGTTACACTTCTCTTTGAGATCTTTGATCTATTAGTCCTATAATTCCTTCAACTCCTTGGAAATACTATACTTTAGTCTACATGAAGTACTAGGCCTTCCCTTTTCTTTTACTATACTTTTCACAGTTTTAAACTTCTCATTCTTTCTTGACTTGTAATCTCAAGCGTTCATTACCTTCATGTGTCTGCAGGTCTGCTGCAGGTCATTTGCTTTAGGTTCATCAGCTCTTACTCAGACTGCCATCCAGTGAGGCTTGTGTCTGAGTCTGGTCATTGTGCTTTGTTTCTATGTAGGTCCAAGCTGGAGGGCCTGTTTAGACTTAGGAAATGAGACGC